ATTGATTTTTTAATTTCTTAGGATTAAGAATTTTACTCTGTCTAGAAGTCCAGCAGATCATTTCTGGTCCTTTGAAGTTACTGGTTCAGTTTTAATATTTTTAAAGCCATATTCATATATTTATAGGGATGTTACTGCTATCTATCGTTCAACACGAACTACACCAATACTCACCTTAAAACAACAGCAACCATTTGTTTTGCCCACACATTGGCCACGTGGGCAGGGTTTGGCAGGGAAGCTTATCTCTGCCCCACGTGGTGCCCCTGGACGGCGTAGCCTGGGCTGGTGCCCCCAGTTCCCTCACAGCCGGCCGGGGGGGTGCTGCTTATTCCTCGGCACAGGTCTCTCCGTGGCCAGTGTGGACGTCCTCCTGATAGGGTGGCTGGTTTAGGAGGAGGCTATCCCCGGAAACGGTGTTCCAAGAGATAGGAAGTGGAAACTGCCAGGTTTGTTACGGCCTGAGCCTGGAAACACGGTCGGCTCACGTTTGTGTTATATTGATTGAGCAGTCCCAGAGGGCAGGTTTTAGGAACCGGGAACACAGAACTCTAGCTCTTGATAGGACAGAGGAGTATAAACAATTTTGGAGCCATGCTTTCAACTGCTATAATGATAGGGGAATATTGCCATTCTTAATTGATAAGGTTAATTTGCTTCAAGGGGAGAATAGTGTTGAAACTTGGAGACAGTGATATTATTTCTAGTCAGATATTATTTTCCAGTACAAATGTGTGTGTGTTTTATTTTTTCATGACTTTTAGAAGTATTAAAAACAGTATTTGCAAGATATATGTGAGGAAAACTAGAAAACTCTGATAAAAGAATAAGAAAAGACTAATGAATGTATATGGATAGGAAGACACGATATTCTTAAGATGTCAGCTCTGTTAGCTTGATCTATAGGCTCAGGAGCAACCATTGTCAGAACCTCTGTAGATATTAAGAAACTTATTCTAAGTTTATATAGAAAGTCAAATGATACCAAATATGGAATATCATAGTGAAGAAGAATAACAAAGTCAGAGGAATGACACTAACTTCAGTATTCAGTGCAGAGCCACAGTAATCAGGACAGTGTGGGGGGAGTGAAGGAGCACAGGTCAGTGGGCAGAATTGGTAGCCCAGAAACAGACTCTGAAATAGAGTCAACTGATGTTTGGGAAAGGAGCAAAGGCAGTCCAGGGGAGGAGAGAGCGGAGGTGGGACTGGGACTTACCCGCATGCCGAAAATGAATCTACACACTGGCCTCATGCCTCCACCAACATGAACTCAAAGTGGATCCTAGGCCTCAATGTAGGAACAAAACTACCAAACTTCTGGAAGATAACATAAGAGAAAATATAGGTGACTTTGATTTGCTGCTGAGTTTTTAGCTATAACACTAAATGCACGATCCATGAAAGAAAAAATTAGACGAGTTGGACTTCATTGAAATTACAAAATTTCTCCTCAGTGAAAGACACTTTAAGAAAGTGAAAAGACCTGCAGAGAGAATGTTTGCCAAACACATATCTGATAAAGAGATCTAGCCACAATATACAAAGAACTCTTAAATTCAACAATAAGAAAACAAATGACTTAATTAAAAAATAGGCAGAAGGATTGAACAAACACCTCACCAAAGAAGATATGTAGATGGCAAATAAGCATATGAAAAGGTACCTCAACATATGTCCACAGGGAACTGAAAATTAAAACAACACTGAGATGCCACTACACATCTATTAAAATAGGTAAAATCCCAAACAGTGGCAGCACCAAACACTGGCAAGAATGAAGTGTGACCAGTAAGTCTTTTTTTAAAAAAATATTTTTTTATTATTTTTTTTAGAGATAGAGAAAGGGAAAGGGAGAGAGAGGTAGAAATATCGATGAGAGAGAAACATCAATTGGCTGCCTTCTGCACATTCCATACCGGGGATCGAACCCACAATCTGGGCATGTGCCCTGACTGGGAATCCAGATGGTGACCTCTTGGTTCATGGGCCACCGGCCGGGCCTGACCAGAAAGTCTTATTCATGCTGGTGGGAATGCAAAATGTACAACTACTTTTGAAGACAGTTTGTCAGTTTCTTACAAATCCAGGCATGGGAACCCTAAGTGATCTGGACACTGGTGGCCCCAGAGCGTATAGGACAGTGATGGTGAACCTTTTGAGCTCGGCGTGTCAGCATTTTGAAAAACCCTAACTTAACTCTGGTGCCGTGTCACATATAGAAATTTTTTGATATTTGCAACCATAGTAAAACAAAGATTTATATTTTTGATATTTATTTTATATATTTAAATGCCATTTAACAAAGAAAAATCAACCAAAAAAATGAGTTCGCGTGTCACGTCTGATACGTGTGTCACAGGTTCGCCATCACTGCCCTAGACTCTCCCCCACCTTCCCCTGCGCACCCTCCCCCAGCAGTCACCAAAATGCTATCAGTGTCCATGAGTTTTCTCTCTTTTTTTCTTTTGTGCTCAATCCCTGCACCCCCCAACCTCCCCCCCAACAGCTGTCAGCCTGCTCTCTATCTCTGAGTCTGTCTCTGTTTTGCTTGTTAGTTCGTTTTGTTCATTAGAACATACAGTCCAGCAATTGTGTTCTTAGGGATTTGCCCAAATGAGTTACAAAAACCTGTGCCTGAGTGCCTTTAGCAGAAACAACCCAAATGTCCATCAGCAGATGACTGGATAAACAAATGTGGTAGATATGTTTTTGAAAGTTTAAACTCCTTAGATTTTTAAAGAAAAACAGATTATGAGTTTAGAAATTATTATGTAGCATTTCCATAGGGGATTATTAAACTAGAACTATACTCATTTTCATTTATTAGAATCAAACTCATCACTAGATGAAACTTTAGAGCAACAAGTTCTCATTTTACAAATTTACAAAGAGTGAAATTGAGATGCAGAGAGGTTAAGTGATTTGCTCATAGACGCAACTAGTAAATAATAAAACCAGAGTTAGAAATAAGCTCTCTTGATATCCATATCATTTTCTTACAGGAAACCTGACCGAAAAGTACATATAATAAATGGCTTGTACACTGCAGTCATGGTCATTGATAATAACAGTCATAGCCCTTAGGGTCTGTAAGAGACCTGGCTATGTGAACAGGCCAGCTGACAAAACAAATAGTGGACAGAGGTAAACTACTGAGGCAAATAAAGTTTCTGATTTTCTAAAAAATGGGAACTAAATAGCAAAGTGAAATTACCATTTGTTTACTGATGACTGCAGATTAGTCATCCCTACATGTACACTTAACTTTCTAGTGTTATGATACATTGCCCAGTAAAATATGATTACTAACATTTTGGCAATGTTTGCTTTTGGCTATTGTGAATAATGCTGCAATGAAATTGGTGCACAAGTATCTGTTTGAGTTCTGCTTTCAATTCTTTTGGGTATATACTCAGAAGTGGAGTTGCTGGATATTATGGTAATTCTGTTTAATTTTTAAAGAACTGCCATACTGTTTTCCGTGGCAGCTGCATGATTTTATGTTCCCACCAGTAACATACAAAGCTTTCAGTTTCTCCATATCCCACCAACACTTGTTTTTATAACCATCCTAATATATGAAGTAGTATCTCACTGTGGTTTTGATTTGCATTTCCCTAGTGCTTAGTAATGTTGATCATATCTTTCTGTATTTATTGGCTATTTGTAGGTTTTTGGATAAATGTCAATTCAAGTGTTCTTCCCATTTTTAATTGGGTGCTTTGCTTTTTGTTGTTGTTTGATTCCCTCTTTTGAAACCTAAGAATTATCCCTACTTACTGATTTGTAGAAGCTCTTATATCTATTTTGGATATTGAGCCTTTACTTTCTTATTTTGAAAATATTTTCTTCTTCTTATGTTTTATTCTTCATTTACAGTACCTGTGGTTTAGAAGTTTTTATGTAGTAGCTTCTGTCATTTTTTTCCTTTATACTTTCTGGGTTTTGTATCTTAATAATGTTTTTATACTCTAAATTATTAAAAATATTGCCTTTACTCCTCCCATTTCATTGATGAGACTTTTTACAGGCTAACCAGCAAGTAGATATTTGCTATATAATTCACATTTAATTTGAATTTAACCATAGATTATATTTTGTAGATATGACAATTTCAGTGTTGTGTTCATAATGAACTCTGGATCCTTGCTGCTACTTTAACTATCTACAATTGGAGGAAAATGTTTTCCCACAGTTGAGATTTGATTTTTTAAAAATAATTGCTGTCTTCATGTTTAGGGATTAGTTACCTAAATGATCCCCCCTTGTCATACATAAATTCATATATGTACGCACATATGTTTTGTGTGCTTTTTTACTTAAGTAGTTTTTTCCTGAAATAAATTATATGAATATATTGTTTCAAATAATAAAAATCCCTATATGTGCTCTCTTTGCAATCTAACCTATCTTAAAAGGCTTTTTTCTTATAAAAAGTTTTAATTGTGACATTTAATTCTTTCTGCTAGATGTTAAATAAATCATTTTTCATCTTTTATTGTGTTACCTTTTAAATATAGTCTGATTGAAATATGAGAATATTTTGTCTGTGTCTTTGTTTATAATAGCTGTCTGTTTATAGAAAATGATATAATAGCTTTATTTTATGATTAGTTGGACATTAATTTAAAATTATGAAAGATATCTATAAAGTACATATACTTTTTAAAAAATATATTTTAATTGATTTCAGAGAGGAAAGGAGAGGGAGAGAGAGATAGAAACATCAATGATGAGAGAGAATCATTGATCGGCTGCCTTCTGAATGCCCCACATTGGGGATCGAGCCCGCAAACCGGGCATGTGCCCTGAATCAAACCGTGACCTCCTGGTTCACAGGTCGACGCTCAGCAGACAGAACTAATGGGGGAGGAAGGGACTCCTGTGACCTCCTCTCTTCCTATTTCTTTTTATAAGGTCGTGTTGTTAAAGTAGCTTGTCTCTGTAATGTTTGTCTGCCTCTCTTGCCCCTGTGCTTGGATCATTTTTTAATTTAAAATCTTGCACTGCAGGTCGTTGAGCACTTCCACATGGAGGTTGGCACAGGACCAAACTCGAGACTCGCAACTCATAACAGTTGATGAAAAATTGGTAAGAATTTTTTATATACGCTGCTAGGATTCTGCCTTCAGGGTTATTCTTGTACAATAGATTTTAAGAGGGGTGTTTTGTGGGAAGTGATGTGAATTTGACTGTCCAAATTGTATGTAAATTTACTTTAAGAAATATTTGTCACAAAATGATAAAGATAATTTATGTTAAGCATTATACACAAATATTAAGTCATACAAATATTGAGAAATTAAAATTACAAAAGGCTTCCATTTTTTGGTGTTTATAAGTAGCAATTAGAACATTTTTTATTTTTATAATGCATGCATTATTTTTTATTTTCTCAGTTATACTATTTAAGTTGTAAGGTACCAGTACTATTTAAAATTAAGTATATTGAGTTTTTCTGGAATCAGTTGTTTTTGTGTGTATACATCCCATTTCACATTACACATGAGAGATTACAACTAGCAACAAATAAATAATGTTCTTCACAACAGAAAGAATTTTGGTAACCATGACATAAAATTTTCCAATGTGTGGTGGCATTTTAGATGCAGCTTGTTATTGATGCTTATATTATATGATAGCATAAATTTTGTCAATGTCGTAAGACTTCCAGTAAAAATGTGTAGTCGTATTTTCATTTTTATCTGGCTTACCATTATCAAATATATGGGTGTGTTTCTTAACTACTCCCTTTCTAATCGTTGTATATTCTTTTATTGCTCAATTTTGAGCCTGTGAGCATAATTTAAATAATAGGTCACACTTAAGTTTCTATTTGCACCATTAAAGATCTAAATAGGAAAATTAATAGATAAGGAAACAGTAAGGAAATCCCTAAATATCTTATGTTTAAGGCTGGTTGATTTGAACTTTAAAACCAAAGGATAACCAAAATAGTCTTTTTAAAATGCTGGTTTTGTCATCCTCTTCTGAAAAATCTTATGGTGCTTCTTATTGACCTACGAAGAGTAAACATTAAAATCCTGACGGTCTCTGAGGCCGTCCTCTCCAGGTTTACCTGGTCCCACTCTCTCTATCCCCTTTGCTCTGTGCCTGTGACTTGCTGTTCCTTTTCTGCTTCAGGGCATTTAGATTCCAGTTCAGTCTGCCCAGCTGCTGGTACCAACCCCCCAGCTTTTCATTCAGTGCCATGTGCTTATGCTTCACATGTTCACCTCCTAGCCCGTGCTTCCTCAGGTGTAGAAGAATTGAGGCAGGAATGGAAGCGGAGGAGGACTCACCGTGCCATGTGTTCATTAATGAATGAGGATCCTCTTTTAATGTTTTACTGCATCTCTTCTAAGCCCCAAGAGATTGCCTTCTTGTTCAGTACATGGGGTTTACTCTCTATAAAATTTTCTAAGTTCATGGAAGCGGAGGAGGACTCACCGTGCCATGTGTTCATCAATGAATGAGGATCCTCTTTTAATGTTTCTACTGCATCTCTTCTAAGCCCCAAGAGATTGCTTTCTTGTTCAGTACATGGGGTTTACTCTTTATAAAATTTTCTAAGTTTACGAGTGATGCTTCTAAGTTCTGTTCTGTCTAGTTTGGATGCATAAGTCAGAACAGACACCCCTCTGTTGCTCTAGACAAGGTGCTGTGAAGCACACCGGGAGCTGTGGGCTGCTCTGAGTGTTATGTTTTTCATTGTCTCACAAATCAGTTGCATACTTTTAATGAATTTTGTTGCCCTGTATAGATTTTCTCCAGCTTTGTTATGTCTTTCTTGAAGTGTGTACTAGTCAAAATATAGGTTTGATATGCCAGCTAAAGTCAATTGAGGTCTTATGTGTAATTATTCATAGTTATTGAGGTCATATTTAATATGGATAGCTGAAACCCTTAGCCATTCATTTAAGTTTATATTAAAACAGAAGTATTAAATAATCATATAGGTAACGCAGTGCTAACAAGGGTTTCGGCTTTTTTTGCTCCTGCATACGATCAGATGAAGGCTTCAGTGAGTAGCATAATGACAGGACCGGGGGATGGAGGGACTTACAGCAATGTTGAGCAAGTGGAATTGATTAGATTTGCATTTTGAAAAAAAAGATTCTAAAAATATGTATCAGTATTAATGATGAAAATATTTCAAAAGGTGACGTAAAATAAGATGTGGAAACCGCATTTTATAGTATAGAATAATAATACTATAAACCAATTTATTAACTTAGGATACCATTTTTCTTAACCACTCAACATCCTATATAATAAAAGGCTAATATGCAAATCGACCGAACGGCCCAATGACCGGTTGCTGTGACGCACGCTGACTACCAAGGGGCAGACCCTCAATGCAGGAGCTGCCCCCTGGTGGTCAGTGCACTCCCACAGGGGGAGCGCTGCTCAGCCAGAAGCCCTGAGCCAGGCTTACAGTGGCGAGAGGGCGCAGGCTGGGCTGAGGGACTCCCCCCACCCCTGACTTCACAAATTTCGTGCACTGGGCCTTTAGTTAGTTATATTTGTACCTGAAATTGGACAGAAACTAGAATCTTAATTGTGTGGTAAGGGAATTAGCCATTCTCATGATTTCTATTGGCTATCTTATGTGATGTAGTTTTAAAATTAATACAGGTGATGCATGTGGACTAGGTCTTAAGCATGTGGACTAAACTTAATTGGGGGTTAGTTTTAGTGTTTATTTTCAAACCGGAGGATAACTTTAGATGTTACCTAGTTACATTATTGAATCTATTTTTCATTTAAAATATTTTCAACCTTTTATTCAAGAGAAATCTTATGTGGGACTCCAACAAGTAATCAACTAGATGAAAGCTGAATTTGCTGGAGGGTGAGGACTGGGAGCCCGAGGGACGATGCAAGCTTTCCTTAGGACAGTGGTTCGCAGTGTGGTCTGGGTGGGAGCCCAGAGCCCTTTTAGGAGGTCGACAAAGTCAGACTATTTTCCTAATCAGGCAAAGGCTTTTTAAAGTCAGTTTCACTTAACATTCTTGATGAAGCAGTAAAAATGATTAATATTTAAAAATCTCCACCCCGCATACTCATCTTTGTATTTCCCGTGTGGCAAAACAGGAAGTATTGTGCATAAGACACGTCTGCTGCATGTCCCCAGGTGTCACTGGGTCTAAGGATAACTACTTGTGTCGCTGCGCTGCTGTTGCACATTGAAGCTGGCCACTTTCTTCTTGGAGCACCTCTAATTGCAAAAACAATAACAGGTGACACAGTATGGTTTTCCAGTCTTCAGCACACGGCAGACATTTTCTAGAAAATAAACCTGCTGCTTCAAGGAAGCATTACCCATGATAAACTTCAAGCTTCCAAGTAAAAATGAGAATTTTTGAACTTGATTATGCCACTGATCTGATTGAGCCTGACAACTTCCCAATAAAGACTGTTGGGATGGTACTGGTGGTGATGTTCAGGAATGTGATTTAGGAGATTAGGTAGTGAAATGTGCTAACATTAGGAAGATGTGCATACCTCCTGTGAACCAGTGTTTCCAGATGAGCAATGTATGATGTCATAAAATCATGCCTGGGTAAAACTTTACAGTGCAAGATAGAACAATGCTTTTAATGTGAGTATGACAATATTAAGGCTGTTAAAATATTGCTCCCTTTTCTAATTACATGTCTCTTTTAGGATGAATTTTCTTCATATAGTTCAACCAAGATAGCTTAGTACAACAGTTTGAACAAAAGAACAGATGTTAGAATTAACCTGTCTTGTGTTAAGCTATTCATTAGAGATTTTCAAAAATGCCTATCAGTTGTCCCTCTTCTCACTAAATTCTTTAGCTTTTGAAAATATGAGTAATAATATTATCCTATATAATAAAAGGCTAATATGCAAATCGGCCGAATGGCTGAATGACCGATAGCTATGACGCACACTGACCACCAGGGGGCAGATGCTCAGTGCAGGAGTTGCCCCCTGGTGGTCAGTGCGCTCCCACAGGGGAAGCACTGCTCAACCAGAAGCCGGGCTCATGCCTGGCGAGCACAGCAGCGGTGGTGGAAGCCTCTCTCGCCTCTGCCGCAGCACTAAGGAGCAGCAAGCCGAGCGGTAAAGAGCAGCGAGCAGGTGGGTGGTAAGGAGCAAGGGGTCTTGGACTGCAAGAGGGATATTCGACTGCGAGAGGGCACAGGCTGGGCTGAGGGATCCCCTCCCCCCAAGTGCTCGAATTTCGTGCACTGGGCCTCTAGTTTTTATAATAATGTTCTATTAATATATAATTGGTTTATTATCATTTTAAACTAAGTATATATTTAAGTTTTTCTCCATTTAAATTTCTTATGGCAAATATCTGCAGATATATAAACAAAACCTCTTTGGGTCCAATAATTTTTATTTTTATTTCATATATTTTTAAATTAAATGTATTGGGGTGACATTGGTTAATAAGATTATATAGGTTTCATGTGTACAATTCTATGTTCATCATCTGTATATTGCATTGTGTGCCTATCACCCAGTAATTTTTAAGAGGGTAAAGGAGTTCTGAGACCAAAATGTTTGAGAATCATTCTCCCAAGTCTTCTTTTTCGGTTTAAACATCCCCAGGGCTTTGATTCACATCACATGGGTCCTAGTTAATTCATCATCGTGATTATCTTGCAGTTGAACTGAATCCCTTTTACACTGTTGTTGCCGGGATTTCTTGTGATGCTACAGATGTGTGGCAGGGCCTGCGGGGGATTATGACCTCCATCCCTGCGCATCCAGCAGTCCGAGGAAGGCAGTTTACAGCTTATGTTCTCCTGCTTCTTCCTTAGGTGGAGCTCATGGGGAGCTAAAACCCAGGCCTTTTTTATTTGTACTGTGACCAAGTCATGTTTCATTTCTTCCATCGTACATATATGCTGTTTATTATTTTAACTGTTATTCTCAGGTAGTTCAGAGGCCATGCTACCAAATAAAAAGTTTACTTTTTTTTTATTATTACATTTAACAGGCAAAATTTAATATATAGAACATAAGAAATTAAGGGAATTTTTATAGTATTTCATAGATGTCAGTACCCTTATAAGTACAAAGAAAAAGATGTTTTATTTTGAGTATCA